TATTTCACCGTATTCAAGAGTAAATTACATGGACAAAAATACTTATATTTTGAGCAGTATTTACTAAAGGGCAGCATATATTATTATAGGTACTTCAGCATTTGGAGAGGCAACTCTTGTTCCCCTCACCAGATCACGCAATGCTTGACGTTGCTTCTTATTCATTACTTGTTTTGCGCTCTTCTCCCATTTCCCTCCTCCGACGTAACGCTCATAACCCTTGTTGATGGTCATACACTCAAGGCACACAGCACATCCAAGGAGAAACGTAATCAAATAAAGCTCACTCTTGCGCCCATCAATCAAATCCGCCAATCTCCACTTCTTTCAAATGAGAATGAACATATGTTTGTTTCAAGCCAAGAGGCATTCCACGGTCCTCCCTACCTTTTGTCTGCAATACACAACATACATAGCGTGAAACTGCTGCATTTAGAGAATATCTCAGAAATCCCATCCATTAGATGTTTTTGCCTCAAAGACAGTAAATAAATTATATAAAGGGTATATCTTCAAGAAAAGGGTCATCACAAGAAAGCCTGAGTACAAGTTCCTCAACATTTAACCTAGCAGGATAATTAATCCATCGCTCAATATGACTGCTGAATCCTTTCCCTAAACAACATGATAGCTGGAATGATTTAATCCCCCATCCCTGTCGTAGTTGTAGGAAACGATCTATATAAATGTGTAAGGAACATGTCAAATTATTATAACAGAAACCGGTGTTTAGTCATGGACAATCATATGTTGTGGTTTCAAAAACAACAAATCGTAATAGCTTGAAGTTTCTTATTGACGATGCAGAGCATGTTTCCACAAGATGTACTACTAATGTAGTTTATAAAGAAATTTTCCAAAATTTGTAATTTATAGGATATTAATGTTTTACATAAACAAAAAACATTATATTTCATTATATGGTGTACTTATTTACTTTTATAATAATGCCAACATAAATTTATAACGTTAATACAAATCGTGCCAGAAAATTACTCACGGGTAATTAACGCAAGTTTTGTCGAAATAACTCTCAGGTCCCTCTATTTTCAAGAAGACCACGGAGGTCCTTACATTTTGTTGTAATAACTGGGACAGGACATTCCACCCAATATTTCATCCATAAACGTAAATAAATGTATTTTTTTCCTATTTTTTTCTAAATATTTTAAGGTAACAAATCTTAGGTCACTCCTTTTTTTATTTCTTTGTTTTTCTTTTTTTTTGTTACTCTTTTTTACAGTGTTATTTTAAAATTTCTTCTATAAAATCAGATAAAAATTCAAAATTGTTTGTATTATATTAAAACAAATGAAATAAAATATTTTCTAAGAAAGAAAAAACTGAGTAATGGAAAAATAGGAAAAAACGGTAATGGAAAAATAAGAAAAAAAATACATTTATTAACACTTATGGATGAAATATTGGATGAAATGTCCCCTCCCAGTCATTACAACAAAATATAAGGACCTCAGTTGTCTTCTTGAAAATAGAGGGATCTGAGAGTTATTTCGACAAAACTCGCATCACCCGTAAGTAACTTTCTGCAAATCGTGCAGCGCACGAGTGTGATACTAGTTATTAAGATGTGTTTTGTGCAAAGTGCTAATCTTTCCCTAGCTCCGGTGCCCCATGTGGTTTAGAAAATTGTCACCAAAATCCACTCTATTTTCAAAACTTATTTCTAAAGTCCCCGTTGTTTCAAAATGTTGCACTTACACCCCTCTAATCATTTTCTTGTCATTTTCCGGCGAAGAGGGACATTGGCGCATAATTTCTAAACCGTAGGGGTATTCGTGCTCATTTCTTATTTTAGTTTATTACTCCCTCCGTCCTATATCTTTCCTCCCGTTGCGCAAAACGAAGAAAAATCCCAAATTTTTTCAATCTATTTTATTTAAATATTGGTATAGAAATAAAAAATAAAACATACATATTTAAAAACTACATCAAAAGTTCAACAAAACAAATGGTGAAAAGAATATTTTACTTTATCATATAGGCCATGAAAAAACACAAATAAATATAAATTTCCGTAAAGTTGGAAGAGTGCTATGGGAAGAAAGTTTTAGGACGGAGGGAGTATTTGTGTTTTCCCTTTTTTTAAAAAATATTTTGTATCTCTTTTTCCTTTTCCTAGATTTTTTTAAAAAATATATTTTCAATTTTTATAATATTTTAAAAATTTTAAAATTCTTTGTATTTGAAATAAAAATAAAAATAAAAAAATAACATACATTACATCTATCTCAAATTAAACATTTTCACTTTTTTAGAATAATTTTTTGGAAAGTTAGAAAAAACACAGAATAAAAAAATAAAAAATAGAAAAACGAAATGAAAAAAATTAAAATACGCAAAAAAAAGTCTTATACAAAAAAAATGTGGACACGCCTAAAAAATCCTTAGAATTGAGATGTCCAAAAAAGATATTCATTTTAATTACTTGGTTATCAATATTTTAGTATGAAATAAATGAGAGAATGAAGAGTTATATATCAAAATACATATTCACATAAAATTAAGAGTAATCCCCAAAAAATCCTTTCTAATAAGATGTTTTCTTAAAATTTGTTCTCAATGAGTAATAATTATTTATATGATACTTTATAATTGAGATATTCTCTTGATAGTTTTCAATAACGAATAATTATGTATATAGTACTTTATAATTCAGATTTTTTTATAAAGCACTCTGACAATTAGGATAATATTATAATTATAAACTCAAATGATGATTTCAAAAAATAGTTATTTAGAAAGGAGTATTTTATAGAACTTTTTTTTATTGATAAAAGGATTACATATTACCACGTACAAAAAAACTTACAAACAAATACTCCGTAACATTTATAGTGGAGCATGCTCCTTCATTCTTATCACAAATCAACTAATTGTCAACAACTCAAAACGATCTTTAAAATAAAAACTTTCAGTAACACAATGATTGACTTTGACTTTTGTTTATAGTCTGAAGATCTGAGAAACTGATTTTCTACTTGAGATATAGATATTTTGATTGCTTCTTTTATTGTTCTATCTCCATTTCTTAATATTTGTTTAGTCTTTGACTTTTTACAATCAAAATTAAGAAACTTTGACAATTAATTAAATAAAATTTGTATTAGGTATTGATACAAAAATTATTTTAGTAGCCATATTTTATTATATTTTTAAAAATTATCTAATTAAAGTATCATATAATTTTTACTTAGTTCAAGGTTAAAGGTAAAAATGATTGACTATATAAGTTAAATGTAGAATGAATCTATAAGAAGTCATTTAAATGTTAAAATTATTCATATCATTGAAAACACCAAATTGATTTAATAAAATCAAATTTTTATTTGTATATCTTTATTAGATGGTTCAAATTCAATATTCTTCACCACTTTGTAAATTTCTTTATTGCAGAGCTTTTTTCCAAATTGCCCAAACACATTTTAGCAAAACACAATATGCTCTTAGCTAGGATTAATGTGCAATCAATAATGTTACATTAACCCTAAAAATTTTTTAATTTATCACTAAGTACCAAACAACAATCCTTAAATAGAGTACCAAACAACAAAGCTATTGTTTACCAAATCTATACTTCAATTCAAAAGCAAAAGAAACATTGAAAAGAAACAAATGCTTCCAAAATCTTGCACATGCGATGAACGACCAATATTTTCGATAATAATTAAATGTGTATCAACTATCAATATTGATGGACAGTAAAATACACAGGCCATTGAGTAGTCTAACGAACAGTTGATTACATCAAACCTAAATTTATGGAGTACTTCACAACTGCAAAAAAAAATGAAGCTTCACATTGCAACTAAGAGAATAGTATTAAATGTGAATAATCATCCTTTGTTTAATGATGGAATAAGCCCACAATCAATACATATATTAAAGCAAGAGGTCAAAGAAAATCGAATGGAATGTTATAGCCGAACATGATTAAAGAGAGATAGCCTTTGTTTTTTCAATTGATAAAGCCCACGGATGTAAGACAAACTTTGAAGATAGAACCTTATTCTAATAATAATCCAAAATCATTCCTCTCAGAATATGAAATTACTTGGCCTTAACTGAGTGAATCAACACATATTTTGTAATGTTCAAAAGGGAATCGATTTCGAAAATTTGCCAACAAAAATTATCAAAATATCCTAATGCTATACAATGAACAAACTTATTAGTAGACAAACTGTTCCCACACTCAAAAGGCTTCAGTAACCAAATAAAAATGACATTTGAATATCATAATGTCAATTGTGGCCTGCCAAAATCAAATTAAGTTTGGATACCCTAAATACATAAAATAGGGGAAATCTTATTGCAAATTCAAAATATGCTTTTCTAAGGCCTAATATCTCATTTCTAAAGAATTCTCATGGGTTCTGAATAAAATAATAAACACAAAGCATTAAAGAATTTGAAATCCAAGAAGTAATATTGAAAGAAAAGTGGACCTCCTCCACACAAAGAATTGAAGAATGCGAACTCTACAAAACTATTTCAGAAAACAAAATTTAGCCAAGGTGTTGCATTTACCTTTTTTTTTAAATACGGAAGAACTTGCGATGTGGAAACATATGAAATTGGGATTGAAGCATATGAACTTGCGATGAATTTTCTCACGTGTTAGTAATTAATCCAGCCGCAGCTTTGGAAATAAGGCTTCATATATGTTCCCAATGCGCTGTTAATGTAGGATAATTGAGAAGTCTGTCAGACACATTAAAAAGAAGCTTTAAGCGGATTAATGCACTGATCAATTGTCGTTGATTAACCCTTAATATCAAATCGAGGGCCTGATTTTGCCTACATCTTGGGTGGGAAAACATTAAATATTTTTTTATTTTTTTCCCCATTCTTTTGCTTTTGTATATAGTATAGATTTTTGAAAATAGAAAGGGTATGGGTCTCTGTTTTGCAAAACCACGTACGCTATTTGTAGGACTCGACATTATGATCAAATCCACTGCACGCAGATTAATGAAAGAATACTTTTTACACGGCAGAGAAGAACCAAATTCACCTTGCAAGCTGCTGCTGCCCACGCCGCCTCCGCCGCCGTATGATATCGACCCCCACCACTAACAAAGCTCTTCCTCCACAGATTCTAATTTTACTTATGAGACGAGGAAACGCGATCGATCGGGAGAAGGGTGGAGAAGAAAAGAAATCCTCCTTCCTCCTCCTATTTACAACAGCAGCAGGAAAAATTCCCGCCCAATCATCGTATGACCAATACGTCGACGTCTAAATCATGCACTACTGCACTAGCACACCCCAGGGGAACGGATTCTTAGAAGATGTGGCAATGAAACAGAGAAGACAGAGAGCCTGTGGGAACGTACACTGCCGCTTGAGAACGAAGAAGGTGGAGGGAGTCGTTGCCAGATTACTGTTCATCATCTTCGTCGACATTTGACCTAGCGGGTATGTACATCTGAATTTCATCAATTTCTTCCATGTTTTTTTTTTCATAATTAAGGTTTCAAACCAATATTCTTTCTATCTATACTCCTATTCATCTACATATCAATTACGGAGTACATTTTAATTTCATCAATTTTATAGCTTCATCTCAAAATAAGTTTAGGGTTTGTTAAATAGATCTCAACAATGTTGTGACGGAGTAGTATATGTCACGATCGATGACATCAGAATGTCAAGGATGAGGTGGATGAAGATATCCAATATAATGTTTTGGAGGAAGATTTTTCCAGGTTTAAGAATTATCCCTCAATATACTAATGTTGCCATATATTTTGCATAAACCTAAAATCTCCCATCTTTTAGCTCTTGGCTTTACATCAAAGGATATCATAAAAGGTATTAACTTTAAATTCTACCCCTAAGCTTTGACCGAGGAGCTCAAGCGTTGGAGTGATGGGTTGATTAATCTATCCAATCATTGTTAGTTATTAAGATACAAAAGATTTATTATTGGTATATTACAATTTTATTATCCTCATCAACCAAAAGCCTATTTATTTCTATCTTCTAAAATCTATAGGTTGAAACCCAAAACACAGTAGAAGGAAAAATCAGCAAAAAAATAGGACCATTTTTTGATTTGTGTGTGTCATCCTTGTGCAGGGGCCATGCTAATCTTCTCTACATCATCCCAATCACAGATAATGAATTAAGGTAAAATTTTGATATAATTTTTTATTTTCAAGTTCTTTCAGGCTTGAGGGTGAGGCAAAAATTTGAGAAAAAGTTGATGGACAAATTAAAGGGCCATAAGGAATCAAAGGTAAACCAAAAGGTTCCTGCCAAACTAAGACATGTAATCACATTGAGAAATTTGAGCAACATGGATGACTTCTCCATATTTCTATTTTTGTGTAGAATCTGATGAGAAAAGATTAAAGAAGATATATGAGAAAAACTAGACTTACAAATAATATAACAGTAAGAGGGGACTAAGAGCAACAAATAATAAGCCTCACATACTTATTTCTCATATTTGGATTTTCAATTATAATGTCTATATCAAACTGACTTATAAGACTCTGAATTTAAATATTTATGTGAGGCATATAAGACTTCAACAATACTGTGACAGAGAGTTGTATGTCATGATGGCATCAGAATGTCTAAGATGAGTTGAATGAAGCTGTCAAGCGTAATCTCAGAAGAAGATTCTGTCAGGTTTAGGAATTATCCCTCAATATACAAACCTTGCCAAATATTTTACCTAAATCTGAAATCCCCCATCTTTTGTTTGGTTCCTGAGAAGCAGTAGCAGCATCCATGTTCATCAAGCCAACAATTTTTGGCTTCACATTAAAGGATATCCTAAGAGGTATGAATTTTAAATTCTACCCCCTTGCTTTGGCTGATGAGATCAAATGTTCATCTAAGTAATCTTTTCTGTTAAGATAAAAAATTGATTCTTTGTATATGAAGATTCTTAAATTTGATATGGAATTAACCAACTACAATTTTATTATCCTTATTAACAAAATGCCTATATATATTCATATATGAATTTTCTTTTTTTTCTCTTTGGTTTACTTTGTCTTGACCATGTACTTATTTCAGGTTACTATATTTGCCCCATCAAGATCAGCTATTTATCTTAATGTAATCCTCAAAAATTTTAAAAGGGTGCCTCTCTCTCTCTCTCTCTCTCTCTCTCTCTCTTCATAGGTAAAGTTTTCCATGTCGTAGTGCAATGTAATGTTATGCAATCAAATACCCCAGTACATTTTTACTGTAGATGTTTAGTGCTCAGATCCCAACATTGGTGCAAACTATTAGCTCATCCCCCTAGCTTTTTCAAATCTCATGTGTGTGTATATGTGATTTCAAATCTCATGTGTGCTCAGACCCCACGTTAGTGTTGTTTGTATCTTTTTATTTTAAATTTTCCGAGATTCCACGAGTGATATTTTTGATAGGTTTAAGATTTCTTAAAACACAAGAACTGCGAGTACCACCATAACTACATGTCGAGAGATGAGTCAGGTTACTATATCAAAATCTATCATTATTCGGTATCTCATTTCTATTTCTCAAAGAAAAAAAGTCATGTCCCATAAAGAGAGTCATGATGGTTCACAAGTTTTACTAATGAGCATAGTTCAATTTTTACTTTTTGCAGAATGATTTCAGCATTGTATTTGGATTTGGAGTTTGAGCATTTGCTTTTATAGTTGGGTATGATTGAATATTTTTTTTTTCCTTTACTTTTCTCCAATTTCAATTGAATTCGTGATTGCTATGCAAGTTCTTTCTATGGTGTAGCCAAGAGTCTTTATAGTTCACAAAAACTTTTGATGTTTGGAAGGTTTGTTATATACAAAGCTACTTGCAAGAGATTTAAGAGTGCTTTGGATTGAAAGAGCAAGGAAGAAGTGCACGTATCTCGACAAAGCAACCTCTAGAATTTGCAGCTATGCCGGTGTCATTATCCTTTCTTTATTATACGGTTTGTCTGGGCCTGCACTCTATGGAATCTACCTATCTAATAAAATCTACCTGTCTATCCATGTATCTTTTATCTATTGAAAGGTTAGCCCTCTGAATATGGTGAGTTGAATTTTATGAAAGTTAAATCATTTGGCAAAATGGATTTCAGCCAAATAAGAAAGTTNCAACAGCAATGAATGCCCAATCGCAGTGGGACTTCACCTGGTAATCTACCTCTATCTCTGAACTATGTTCACATGCTAGCCTAATCTAAATTGTACTGTAAACATCTGGTTTTGTTATTTGTTTGGATGAATGGGAAAGTTGTTTCCTTTTTTTTTGCAATTTTCTATTTTTGAGATTCTCGTGATTTCTCGTTTAATGACTTGGTGTGTTGTGCAAAGTGACTTGGAGGTGAATTTTGGATCTCAAGAAAATGTCCAAATTATTTATATGGCTCTGTCTGTTGATAAGGAGGCAAGGTTCTATGAACTAATAATTGTAGTTTGTTTCATAATTTAAAATCATGAAAGGAAAAATCATTTGAATTTCATTTTAATTTCACTTGCAGTTGCAGCCTGATAAGGTGAAAAGGGTAATGTCAGCTTCAGATGGAAAGCTCCTAGTGTGAGTACCTGTTTTTACCCCCCTATTGCAAAACTCAATATATTAGAGTAAATTCTTAATCCACCTATATTCTATCATACCAGATTATAAACATATGACTACCTAACTTTCTGGAGATGCTCTTTTACGTCTACTCAACTTACAAAACTCTCTTTGTTGTATATTTCATGCTAAGACGTCATTCTTAGTAATTTTCTGGTATTTATTTAATCTTTCAACATTGGTTAAAACCATTTGATCTTGCTCTTGTTCGTGCTGAACTACACTATAGTCGTCGTTCATGTTGCATGCTACTACTAGGGATTCATTTGGAAGTGTTTTCAAAAAACAAGAGAGTGAAAACCAAACACTAAATTAGTTAAGGTATTAGGACTCATCTTTTCTTGATGGTAATTTTAGGCTGCTGGTGTGGATATGGATTGTTTTATTGTCCTATCCTTTATTATGTTGTCAGGCATTTTGAGGCTATTGAAGCTAGATTCCTTCGCGCATCATTCAGTGCTTTTGTAGATGTTCTTACTCTTGCTTCAAAGACAATTGAAGAATTTGGTCTGTTTAAGAAATTATGATAGAAGATACACTCAACATTTTTGGACCTGATTCGACTATACTGGGCAGTTTTTATCATTGATGGTGATCTTGTATACTTGAGTATCTTTTTCAAGCGCTCTTGAAGTCCATGCTTTGATTTTGTCTTGCAATGGATGGCAAAAGGTGAAATCTTTAAAGCAGATTTAGAACTTCACTCTCTACTTTTTACATGTCTAGCAATTTATGAATTCCAATGGAACTTTATTTGTATTAAATATTTGCTTTGCTGATTGTAATATACTTACCTCTCCAATCTACAAAGTAGCAGTTTCTGTGTCATTCATTCATCACACTTTGTTCAAGACAATCAACATTGCACCTTTTATCTCTACTAGTTAACAGATTCACAAAAGTGCACAATGGGCCCTCAAATGTTACTCCGTACTTCATATCATTAAATCAACTTATCAATAACATATGGTATTGCTTTTGTGCAAATATGGGAGAGCAGAATAGTAAAAAACAACTCAATGAGCCGAATGACTTTAGAATTTAAGTGCGCAGAATATGCCAAAAGACTTTCTTTGAAGGTATGAGTATTGCCTTATTATATACTCCCTCCGTCCGGGAATGATGTTCCCACTTTACTCTTTTTTTCGTCCGGAAATGATGTTGCCACTTTACTCTTTTTTCTCTATTCTTTCAAAATTACCCTCCCTTCTTCTTTCTTTTTCTTCCTTTCTTTTCTTATTTCTCTTTCCTCCTTTTGTCTCCGCCACCCCTTTTCCTCATCCCCAATTCCCCACCGGCCACCCCTTTTTTCTTCCTCCATCCCTGCCATTCATTTCTTCTTCCTCATCTCTGCAATCTTCTTCTTCCTCCTCTCTAGTCTTTATTCTTCTTTATCTTCCCCTTCTTCTTTCTATTCCATCTTCCTTCTATATCTACGCATATGTATGGCAGCTATGGTGACGGCCGGCGGTGGCGATGGTGAGTCTGCTCTTCTTACTCTCTTTTTTCTTTTCTTTCTTCTTTTCTGCCCCCCACCCCCGCTATTCATCATCATCTTCTTCGATCTAAATCTATGCTAGATCTAAGGGGCTGGCAGCGTTGGCAAAGCAGGCGGCGACGACGGTAGAGCAGATGGCAGTGGTAAGAGCTAGATTTCGATAGATTTGTATTAGATCTTTTTCTTCTCGTTTTGTTTCCCCTGATTTTTCCCTTCCCTTATTGTGGTGACTGGTGAGTGGCTGAAGAAGATGGTGATGATAGGGATGGCGAAGATGTAGTAGTCGGTGATGGCGTTTGGCGGTGATGGGGCCGCGGTGGGCAGCGCGGAGATGGGTGGAGGAGGGTTGGGGCAGTGGTGGCTGGGACAAAGAAATTTAAGGAAGATATGAGGGCATTTTGGACATTTTAATGTCATAGTCAACACTCACTAAAAATGAAGAAAAGTCAAACCGGGAACATCTTTCCCGGACGGAGGGAGTACTAGATAAGTGCGCTGAGTATGCCGAATGACTTTAGAATTTTTTTGAGGATATTCCTCCTATATGCGTTTATTGTGATTGTCAATCGGCAATATGACGAGATCGGAGAAATATGTACAATGGTAAGTCTAGGCACATTCGTCGCAGACACAAAATTATTATGCAACTTCTTAACATCGGTAATATCTCAATTGACTATGTTAGGTCAAAACATAATCTAATGGATCCACTAACTAAATGGTTAACAAATGAGTAACATGAGAAATTAGTGGTAGGAACGGGTTTGAAAGCTCTACCCTATGATGGGAATGTTCCATGAAGGAAAACCCAACTTAGGTGGTACCTGGGTTCAATAGGACAGCCTACTTGTGAGATGAAACATGGTCACCTTGGGGGCAAGTTGGATCACTGATAAGTCGCTTATTTGTGTATATTTAATTATCTTTTGATAGACTTACTAACTTGACTTTTAATATAATTTGAGGCTTAATTGTGTGATGTTTCATAAATATATAATTTTGGAATAATTTATGTTAAATGGTTGTGATGGATACCTAGACAAGGGATATCCGGTCTTTGTATAATATTAGTTGGGGCGGTCCAGTCTGTTGGACAGACCCATTAGTTGTATGTTGATTATTTATTTTAGGGCGGCCCAGTCTGTTGCACCAACTCATTAGACTGAAACCCTAGCCCTGATTCTCCTTATTTATACCCTCTTCTTGGAAGAGGGGGGAGGAGGGTGGAAGGAGGATAAACATACACTACACTATTCATCATATTCTTCATCTAATCTACACCATTTTCTCCTTCTTCCCTACCCTTGGGTTCCATAACCCAACAGGTTGATTTTAGACCCAAATTCAAGTGGAAGGGCTTAATTGCAAGTGAATTCAAATATTTGGGACCAATTCTCAATTTCTAATAACTTGCTTTTATTTGATGAATTTGACTCCCGAAATACGAGAAGTCCACGATAATGTCGGACCCAGCATTCGCGCACAACAGCAGCCTCCTGCGACCCGACCCGGCGACCACAACCGACGAGGAGCCAGCCGCAATCCTTCTACTCCAGTGGCGACGACGCTGACCTCCAGCGAAGCAACATGCAGCGAGGAGCTTCCAGCGCCGGCGCCCAGCAGCCCGACTCCGACGCCATCTGCGTAGACTCCGGCGAGCTCCACACTCCGGCAACCTGATAGCGCGTCTTCCTCCTCCCGGCGACGCTGACCGGACGCGAAGACCAAACCAGCGTGACCAGTTTCTGAAATTGGGTGAAATTCCCAAATTGCCCCTGGTTATTTTCTTTACTTATGTCTTTATTAGTCATTTTACTCCCAATTTCTTTTACTCTATATACAGTTATACACTCCCCTAACTCTAATTTGTCAAGTGAGCTCCCCCCATTTTTATTTCATGTTCTTAACTAGGTTTTTTGTTCAAGCTTCATCATTTTCTTCATTATGCCATTTTATTTTGGGAGCTCCATTATCTAGATTTAAACTCTTACATTTATCTTCTTGTTTCTTAATATTAGTCTTTATTTTCCTCATCTCTTCCATGCTTTTTCTTTCCTTTTTACTCTCTTATCTTTTGCGCATTTTTAGATTAAGCATGCTAGGCTAGATTTTCTAGCTTAGGTTAGGGATGAATTGTTGGTTTATGTTAGTTGTCATTGGATTATTGTAGATTGTGAGATATTGCTCTAGGTTGTTTGTAGGAATTATGCCAGAAAATTATTCACAGGTGACGCGAGTTTTGTGGAAATAACTCTCAGGTCCCTCTATTTTCAAGAAGACAGCAGAGGTCCTTACATTTTGTTGTAATGACTGGAAGGAGACATTTCATTCAATATTTCATCTATAAACGTTAATAAATGTATTTTTTCCTATTCTTTTCTAAATGTTTTAAGGTAATAAATCTTAGGTCGCTCCTTTTTTTATTTCTTTGTTTTTCTTTCATTTTGTTACTATTTCTTAAAGTGTTATTTTAGAATTTCTTCTATAAAATCATATAAAAATTCAAAATTGTTTGTATTATATTAAAACAAATGAAATAAAAAAAATTAAGAAAAAGAAAAAACAAGGTAATGGCAAAATAGGAAAAAACGGTATTGGAAAAATAGAAAAAAAATACATTTATTAACACTTACGGATGATGTATTGGATGAAATGTTCCCTCCCAGTCATTATAACAAAATATAAGGACCTCGGTTGTCTTTTTGAAAATAGAGAGACCTGAAAGTTATTTCGACAAAACTCGCGTCACCCGCGAGTAATTTTCTGGAATTATGCTATCTATGCTTGGATGTTATTGTTAGCCACAATGGCATTCTTGTATTTCGGAGTGTATTCTAAATCACCAAGGAATCGGGATTTAGAACCTTAGCCGTGTGTCTGTACTCTCAAGTCCTCCCACGGAAGTGGAGGATACTTGAGGAGCTTGTTTGATGTGTTTGTAGTTCTCTTGAGACGAGCACCACGGAAGGAAAAAAACCCACGTATCCCACATCGGATGTGAAACTCTTCAACTTCCTTCATTTATATGCTAGTCTTAATTAACATTGTAAAAGCAATTTATGGAGGGAGAACCAAGGGAGCACTCGCAAATGCGTGTTGGTGTGCGCGCGCGACGCGTCGTGGCAAGGGTGTGGGCCGAACCCTTATTTTTTTACGAGACCGAATCGAACACGTGTGAACACTTCGTTAATAACAAGTGACAGAAATAATAACATGCATGCATATATCCGAAGAATCTCTGGTGACTCCTCGGTTGTTCCGCCTAAGCTATCCAAGTTCGTCGAATCTGCCCAAGACATCTCCAATTTAAGGAGGTGAAGAATACACTCGAGAATTTTGTGCGTCCAACATTCCTTTGCTTTTATTATCCGATCAAGTATTCCGGCAAATACTTTTCGTTCGTCAGCACAAGGTTCTACCGTTCTAGATCTTATGTGTTAGCGGTTTTATCCTGGGAGGAGATCGTCTACGTTAGTCAGTGCGAGAGGCGGGCGATACTACCTTAAGGAAAGCTTCGGTGACTTCGCTTTCAGTAAGATTTTTTTTCCAGCTCTGTTTGGTCGTTCCTGGTAAGGCAGTTCTGTTGATCCCAGCAAGGCGTAGTTACTCCGTCTTCTCTCTCCGTCCAATTTTCCGAACAACTTCGGATTCCATTAATGTTTATTTTCTTTTTTCTTTCGTTGTAAAATCCAAACGAATTATAAGTTCAAATTATTTTATTTTATATTCCCGTTGTAATACTTGTATTTGGCATCAGAGACAATTACTTCTTTTTTTCAGAGTATTGTCAGGAGCCCCAGGCCCAAGAAAGCCTCATATTCAATTTTGTGGTTGATAACGAAATCACATCGGCCGCCCTTCTCGAATCGCTCTGAAGCTTGTGGGCACACGACCAAATATTTGTTCATAAAAAACAAATCTGAGCACGATATTTTTCTACCAAGAGCGTCCTCTAACTCACTGAATGAAATGGGAGGCCTCACAGCCATGTTTAGACCATTTCCTCCGGAAATTGCAACATCTCCCGCCGCCGGTAATCTAGCATATGCCATCGCAATCTTTCCTTTGTCATCAAACGCGCAAGAAAACACCATCTCCTTCACGTTGCATCTTTTTTTCGAACGAAGACAAGAGTAACAGAAGACTCTTTTTTAATCTAATTTCTATTACTCGCATCTTCTTTCCAAAAAAAGATGCAGCACGTGAAGGAGATGGTTTTTTCTTGCATGTTTTATGACAAAGGGAAGATTGCTATGGCATATGCCAGATTACCGGCGGTGGGAGAAGCTGCAATTCCCGGAGGAAATGGTCTAGACGTGGCTGTGAGGCCTCCCATTTCATTCAGTGAGTTAGAGGATGCTTTTGGTAGAAAAATCTCGTGCTCATATTTTTTTTTATGAATGATTATTTGGTCGTGTGCCCACATGCTTCGGAAAGATTGGGCGGCTGGTGTGATTTCATTATCAACCACAAAATTGAATATGGGGCTCTCCTGACAATACTGTGAAAAAAAATGTAATTGACTCTGATGCCTGATACAAGTATTACAACGGGAATATAAAATAAAATATTCCGAACTTATTATTCATTTGGATTTTACAATGAGAAAAGTAAGAAAATAAATACTAATGGAAGCCGAAGGTGGTCGGAAAACTGAAGGAGGAAGAAGATGGAGTAACTACGCCTTGCCAAGAACAATAGAACTTCCTTGCCGGGGACGACCGAACAAGAACAAAGGAACAGAGTCGAACAAAAAAAAATCTTAAGAAAAGCGGAGTCGCCGAAGCTTTCGTTAAGGTAGTATCGCCTGCCTCTCGCACTGGCTAACGAGAACGATCTCCTCCCAAGATAAAATCGCTAATGCATAAGATCTAGAGCGGTAGAACCTTGTACCGACGAATGAGAACGATGAAAGGTATTTGCCAGAATACTTGATCGGAATGGAAGCAAATGAATGTTGGACGCACATAATTTTCGAGTGTATTTTTCACTGGAACAAGACCTCCTTAAATATGAGATGTCTTGGGGGGGATTGGACGAACTGGGACAACTTGGGCGGAACAACCGAGGAGTCACCAGAGACTCTTCAGATATATGCATGCATGTTATTATTTCCGTGTCGTGCCGAGTCGAGCCGGACGGGCGGCGGTGCACGAGGGCTCCCTTGGTTCTCCTTCTATAAATTGCTTTTACAATGTTAATTAAGACTAGCATATAAATGAGGGAAGTTGAGGGGTTTCACATCCGATGTGGGATACGTGGGTTTTTCCCCTTCCAAGTGAGCGACTTTGTGAATAAATTTCTCATTCGCCCGAGCACCAATTTTGGCGCACAATATATCGAAATACTCGTCTCACTTAGAATAATATTCGTCCATAATTATTTTTTAAAAATAATTCTGTGGACTCTACCACATTTATCTCCAAAGTTGTCATGTGTCAATATTCCAACAATGCCATCCATTCTTGGATTGAGAGCTTCAAGGATAGTGCTAAAATCTTGATAGATGGTATTACGATCATCAAGGATGTTCGCGAACACTGCTAGATTTCTTTGTGTTTAGTTAATGAGATGTGAAATCTTGAAGTATTTTAGTACATAATAGCTTGTAAATCTAGTACATGTTCTATCATACGATTGCTTTCTAGCTGCAATATCTCGTGTTTAGTTGTGTGAATTTTGGATGATTTTTGAACCATAACTTGTGTTAAACAACACATCTGTTTTTAGTTTTGCTGTCTGTTGAGAGGGACAAGTTGGAGGGAAAAAAATATTGGTGGGATTCACTTCTTAAGAATCAGTGTTTAAGTTTCATTACGTATATTTTAGATTTCTATGTTGCGTTATCATCTTCATTGCATTTATTGGCAGTGGAGAATCTCTAGTGCAAGGAATCTGTGCGAGCACTTGCGAAGGATCTTGGATATTGAAAACAGGGGACTTTAAAGTTGCCTGTGCCAGTATACTTGGGTTATTCAGTTCTCCCCTTCACATGCTCTTTGGAGGCACTGCTTTTTATGGTAATAAGTTATTCCCTTCGTGTTCACGGTTTCACTGACCGGCCTCAAAATGTTGCAAGGGCGGTTGGAGTGAAAAAGATGCGAGAAACTGAATGCCAAAGGTCAGGGAGGATCACTATCTACAAAGTTGGGGAATATGAGTAATGGATGTTTGGGGGGAATCCTACTGCCAAAGGCTGGGGAGAATCACAATCAAGAAGTTGTGAAAAGACAGCGGTGAATGTTTGGGGAGGTTCAACATCAGGAGGTTTAAGTTGGGGAATCTGCAGAGCAGAAAAGTATCCATGGAAGACCTGGCGCAGTGCTGAAAAGTACTTAATTGCCTTCTTGATCTCAGCCCTATTTTCTTCTTCACGTCCATGACTATAAAGGTACTCCATTAGTAAATGATTGAAAATTTCTTTAACCATCAATCTATATGAGTGGATGAATGTTCTATTGCAACTCATTCCGATTTTGCCTGCGAAACATGAGCATCTTACTCTTAATTGGAAATTACTTTGCATCTTCTTCCCCTACTCCATATCTGTTATGTTTAAGTGATGTGAATATGTGGCTTGATCTTTTGTTTTTTGACCTTTTTGCAACATTGGAAAATGCTAACCCATTACTAGAGATTATTGGGACTTCAGTTGTTTTGCACATATGTTTTTCATTGTTTTCCTTAATACCTATTTGACTAATTAAAAGACGTACTATGCGAGGCAGCCATCCCACAATAATGGATGATGTGGTGAATGTTTTTTTGCAGTTGATTTTGTGTTAGTGGGCAAAAGCATAGAAGGAATTTAGAATAATGGAGAGGATTGGAGACATGATCTCTCTATTTACAACAGCAGCAGGAATAAATTCCTGCTTAAAGTAACACCATTCCACACCAATAAATGATCGATCTGCAACCTCTGACAAATCCAGTTTTGCATCCTTCTAGGCATAGGTAGAAGCTGCCAAATTTTTGTAAAAGAGGTCGGGGATTCTATTCGCAATTTACAAGTGTTTGAGTTGAACACATGCCTCAACTCTTCACTTTTATTTAGCATTATTGTTGTTGTTAAATACCCTACCCCAGGTATGGTTGTCAGCCAGAGTCTCCAGCCTATACATAGTACTCCCTCCAACATTACTAACCAATGCCAAGAAACCAACTTCTTGCTTGCAGCTCACTCTAACCCTGATTTTGTCTTTTTTTTCAAACTTGATTTGCCTCCCATTTAGCACAGAGTGCTCTATAGTGGCATCCTTGAACTCCTGTAGTCACCCGAATCCCATGCCCAGCTTGAATTTAAATTGCTTGCTTGCACATCTCTTCTTTCTTATAACCCTCACTCTCTAAGCTATCATAATCACTTTCTAGGGAGTTCATATCATAATAGAGAGGTTTGAGAAGATCAATTCTTCTCATTGAGCGTAGGGTTTGCTAAGAACTTGTAATATTAGTGGCTGAAGTCTTTGAGGAGAAGTCTGAGCGGTTGAAATCTTGTACGTAAAAGGTACATCTACGAGCAGTTGTAAACGATTTGTTAATCACATGTAATTTTAACAAGGTTAATGAAAAACTCAAGAGGGTCAGGAACTTGATGTAATCACTTGTGAACTAGTATAAATTTTTGTGTTGTTTTTTGCACTTTTTATTCCCCCAATTTATTTTATTCATGTGGCTTTTCATGCTGTGATTATTTTTAAACATTCTCGTACCCACGATATTCACCCCTCTAGTGTCGAACACATATTATAACAATTAGTATCAAAGCCCTAGAATAATGAGAACTTGTTTGTTTCGATCCTCCGAGTAACAAAAAGCGTAACCACAGAGAGATCCAAATGTGTTTATTTCTCGCTCTAACGGGAGAACAAAATGCAAATTTTTCCCTTTCTCAACAATACTGTCGTATGTCGATTGTCGAAGGAAGGAATGAGAAAGTTTTTATGTTCTCAGTAGTGTAATGCCATCACAAGCCAAAGCCCCTTCGAGACCTCCAATGATTCGAACAATCCTAACCTCAAGCCCTCTTTGGACTTCTTTGAAGAGTGCTCTAACGTTGTCAGCAAACCTCTTCATGTCAAAGAGGCTGTCTGGTCTGTCATCAACCTCTCTGAACACTCCAACAAACACGGAGCCAATCTTTCTCTGAATCTCCACCAGTTTCTGCCCTGTCGCAACCATGTATCTCTGCAACTGAAATGTCTCGTCAAGAAAGTGTTCCAGCTTCTTCGTCTCCTCCTTCCTTCTTCCACTTCCCAACCTTTCTGTTGTTGTGTCCGCCTCGCTTTCGTGCTATAACCCACCCAATTCAAAAACACAAAGCAAAAACCCAGTGATTTAAGATTCTTTAAAAAACAATGTGCACGTAAAGTGTTCGAGATATGTTTGAATAGGAGCTTACCAAACACCTGCAGAGATCGTCGATCTTTTCCTGAAGAGATTCGTATCTTGATAATTGCTTATTCAATACGGACATAAAGAGGTAAAATCCTTGAATGTTTAAGCGAACACTGTCGTTGTCTTTTTCAAATTGGGCTTGTTTTCCAGTCAGCCGTTCGAGCATAAGAAGCTTCTGCTTCAGCATCTTGATCTTGCAGGAGACTCCAAGAGCATGGAGGTTCATCTTCCATGTTGCTGGATTATTAATATCAGCATTGGATGGAACTGTGTCGCCTATTATGCCCTTTTCTTGGGGGAAATCCGGGGCATCCCTTGAACTGTTGTTGTTAAGAAGCTGTTTTAAAGAATCCAATTCTGCTTCGCGGTTTGAGAGCAGTGATTCCAGCCTCATCTTCTCCTGTCTGAGATGGGATGCTTCTTGATCCATTGCTGCAAAATGGGATCGAAGTCTTTTAGACTCCATTTCCATGCTGAGTAACCGCCACCGAAAGGCTTCTAGTTTCTCATCCTTGGCTCTCAACTGTTCTGCAAATGCATCGATTTCCAGGTGGTGATGCCTTTGATCAAATGCTGCTGCTGCTGCAGACCGAACCCAATTCTCCAGCTGCTCAGCTTCAGCTAAAGGTTCTGTACAAAAAATTGTGTCAAGGTGTCATCAACACACAATGACCAATAATCAAACACCTACTACATGCACTGATAGACAGAAAACCATGGAATTCTTCATAGGTGCATCTTTTTCCTTCTTGTTTGGCTCAAAATTTGCATTAATTACAAATTACTCCCTTCCATATCTTTTGGCAAAGAAATATACTCTCTTTTTAATAACTTTCTTCTCGATTTTACATGGCACACTTTTTAATGACTGATGAAAAATGTTTGACTTTCCATTTTTTCCATTCATGGTATGTTAAAAAAATTGTTTTACTTGGCTCACTTTTAGATCTTTGCCAAAACAGAGATAAGAAAAGTGCAATAAATGTGTTTTACTGCCCAGAAAAGAATATGGAGTAAGAATAGAAAAGAGAATATTGTGGGGTTTGATTCTTACTCTCGTGATCCTCTCCTGAATAGTTGTCAATTGCAGTAGGAGAAAATAGATATGGATCTTTAACACACACATTTGATTGCAGAATCTCATCCAAGAGCAGTCCCTTACCACTGGGAATGACATCAAGCTTTGAATTCACATGTTTAGGCAAGAAATTTCTTAAAGATGATGGCTTTTCATGCCTGGGATCAGAAAGGAGTTTCCATCTCTCAGTCTCTAGCTCAGCTTGCTTTCTCTTGGATTTACACAGTTTCAGTTCCTTCAAAAGCATTTGTTTCTCGGACGCGTCGAGTTTGGACTTCCTAAGCATGGCTGACAGGATCTGGTCTTTCTGTTCCATGTCCTTTTTCACCTCGACAATGTCCATGGAGAGTTTCTGCACCATAGACAAAGACTGTTCCTTTTGCTGCAATGCCAAAGCAAGCTCAGCCCTCAACTCTTCTGCAACACTTTTTGCCCTTTTCAATTCTTCTTCAAGATTATTGGATTTCTGTGTTTCTTCTTCAATGGTCTTGTCTTTTGACTGCAAATCGGATTCTTTTTCCTTCAAGCTCTGGAGCAATTCAGAAATGGATTTATCCTTTTTGGTCGCGAGAATTCTCAGTTCCTGCATCAGAGCACCAATGTGCTGTCTGAGTTTCTTCCTTTCTGTAAGCCAGACCTGCTCTTGTGCTGCATAAATCCCAACAACTCTTTCGTTGGCTTTTGCATCTTCGCTCCTCAGTTTCTTCAACTCCCCGATTTCTCTCTGGGCATTTCCCAGCTCAAGAACTAGAGCAGAAACCTTTCTGTTTGCCTCTTCCTTTTGAATCTTCCAAACCAGAAACCCTAAGAGCATATTACTCTTCATCTCAGACATGTCCCAATTCAGCAGGAACCTCCCAAAGAAAATTGGGCATAAACTCTCTCTTTCATCAACAAACATAGAAAATGATATTCACCTGACAAACTAAAAACAAGAACAAGAAATTACAAGTGAGCCAAGAAAGAAGCAATCAAGAAAATGAAAGGCAATTCATATTCCACCTAAAAGATGGGAACTTTACAGGAAAAAAACCCAACCCAATCAAGGAAAAGTTTAGTTTGATGACAAGAATGTTGGAGGACCAGAGTAATGAGTTGGAAAAGAAAAATAAAAAAAAGACCAAACTTTTAACCTTTTGAGAGTGGCAGACCAGGTTTCAAGTGTGACCTGTTTGTCCAATATAATCCACCAGAGAACGCCAAATGCGTGACTATCTACAAGAGAAAGTTGTTAAAGCAGGAGGAAATAAAGTGAAGATAATTGTTCCTAGTTTTCAGAACTTCTGCTGACACATAAAACCCCACTTTTGCTGAGTTTTTCTCATCCAAATCACCCCCCAAAAAATCTGTTTATTTATTACGGAGTATTGTTCTTCTTGCGTTGTGGCAGAGGGAACAAATGCGTTGGTACCATTTTAGACCTGTCGCCATTATTGCATTTTCCTAGAAAAAACCCACCTCAAATTATTTAAAATATTGCCTCTGTCCCTAACATAATTTAGAAAATGATTTGATATTTATTACGGGGTATTAGAGCTTAAAGATCAACTCCCTCCTTGTTTGCCTTGTCGCATTCTCCCTCCATTTCTAATTTATTGTTCTCATTTTCTAATGAACGATTAAAATTTGTTTTAGAAGAGAAAGAAAGTCTTTGTGAACTACAATTTTTTTTTTGTTAAATAAATTAAAGAAATAAGACAGTTATTTTGAGATTAGATCAAAAGAAAAATAAGATGCTTATTTGGGACTGGAGGCAGAATCATACGAAAAAATTTCAAAACATGTTGTTGAGATTTATGACAACAATAAATAAATACTCTGTACTTTCTCCATTTTTTCTTCCCAGTTAATATTACGACATCTCGATATATAACTTATGTTTGTTAAGCATGCTTGGGCAGCCCGGGTCGGGTTCGGACCTCACAAGGGTGACAACAAAGAAAAATATCATATTCTTATCATATCTTATTTTGTACTCCGTATATTTTTTACGTTGTTGGGGTAGTTCTAGTGACACCCGAGTACAGTGACACTCCGGTGCCACTCACTTTGGGACAATTCCAGTGCTCCATTTACAAAATTGATGATTCTTACCCCCCTAATCATCCACCTAAATCTACCCCAATCCCACCCCCCATCCCAACCCCCTCCTAAGCTCTCCTCCAAATGTGTATCTATTATGCAATGCATAATACCCACACATTTGGAGGGGGGTAGGGGTAGTAAGTTTAGGGGTGGTTAAGGGAGTATGAATCATCAATTTTACAAACGGAGCACCAGAAGTGCCCCAAAATGGCCGAGTATCATCCATTGACAATGGATTCCCGTGTCAACGCAACCCCGCTCTTTTTACG